ATATATATTCATTATGTGTCGACCCACATGAACATGACCCGTACTTCGAAGAACCCTGCTATGGGCCTTGCCATTCAGCGCGTAGAGGAAAGGGCTCCCTGTCGCCTCAGCTGTTATGTGGGGTCACTGGGGACGCTCTTTATGGCTGCCTCATGACGGAACAGAAGACGATGGATTACTGTGCATTTGTGTTCTTGCTGTAAGAAGGATGTTGTAGTGAATATTGTAATACCGTATCTCGTCATCACTGTATAACACGGAGGTCGCAATTTTGTGCATGCCACCAGTGTGTTTATTGGCTCGAATATACAGGCAATGGGTTTATGCGCGTCTGTGCTAGCGTCGACAGTCAGTCATACGATATTTATGTTGAAATATGGGATATTTTCTTTGTTCTCTGTGTGTGTGGTGTGTCAGTGTCCGGGAAGACTTGGTACTTTTGTGTTTATATCAGTACCGTTAGCTGTTGTAAATAAGAATAAAGTATGAATGAAAATGAGAATTTCCACAGAGCAAGAGATGAAGCGTTAGGGTAGGTTGTTTTTGTTTTTTATCCACGGTAAATTCATATTATATTCCATTAAATTTATCGAAACGTTTCAAATATCTCTCTCGCGAAGAGATACCCTTTTCTTTCCCTTTTTTATTTCTACATTTTATCCCAATAAACGCTATTCACAGTCAGTATTGAAGACTAGCCTACAGTGTACAAGGAAACGATCGTGCACTGTAATCAAGCCCTAACAAGCAGTTCAAAGCCCCTAACAAGCCACTTATTCCCAACGACCCCTACTTACCACAGGACAAAGTAGCCAGGACGACCACCGAGATTAAGAGGAAGTTTCTAAAAGACATGTAGATTTATATATCTTTTTTTTTCTGATCGAAGTTTTGTTGACTTCTTGCCGATCGAGATGGCGTTGGTGTTGGTCTCTTCGATGATGCAATAAGCTGTAAAAGGGAAGTTTTTATTGCATGGTTTTATTGCATGATAAACAAATGTTCACACTTCCAACCTTTTTTGCGTTATAAATATGAGAACAATTATCATATCTAAAGGTATTTTCATAGGGTAATGTTCTAGCAAATGTTTTTTTTTTCCATTTCAGTAAACATATATATCTGCATTCAGGGAGTCATTACAGTTTGAAACATAAACTTTGTTATATTTTAAAACCATTGAAACCAAATATCAGTTTAATAATAATAAAAAAAAAAACAGTTGGTACGTCTAGCCATAAAAACGATTATAAACTCCCATCGAAAAGTTTAATTACAGCAATATTGATACACATGAGAAAATACACCACCCAGCTGTAAGCAAATAATAAAAAAAAATAAGATGAAAAATAAATGAATAAATAGATAGATAAAAAATCAAGTAAATAAATAAATTTAAAAAAAATAATAATTTAACTCCAAATAAATCATTTTTGCGACAAATATGGCGTTGGTGTTTCTGTCTTGTATTTGTTCTTATTATTATCATTGTATTATCATCATCTTGTCATTATCATCATTATTATCATTATTATTGTTGTTGATACTATTATTATTATTATAATTATTATAATAATAATTATTATTGTCGTTGTTGTTGTTTTGCTGCTGTTGCTATTATTATTATTATTATTATTATTATTATCATTATTATTATTATTATCATTATTATTATTATTATTATCATTATCATTATTATCATTATTATCATTATTACTATTATTATTATTATTATTATTACTATTATTATTATCATCATCATTATTATTATTACTACTATTACTATTATTACTATTATTATTACTATTACTATCATCTTCATCATCATCATCATCATTATCATTATCATTATCATTATTATTATTATTACCATCATCATTATTATGATAAAGGCAATAATCAATAGCATTGTTATAATCGTCATTATTATTGTTGTTGTTAATATCATAATTATCATTGTAATTACTGATATCTTTATCATTAGCATTAGCATTATTATCCTCATTATTGTTATTATTATTATCATAATTTATGTAATCGTTATTATTATTATCAAATAAACATCACCATCAAGATAATGATGAGAATAATAATAAAAGTAATGACAATATACTATTCTTAGTATTACTGCAAAAGTGTTTTTTTTTTATCTATGCTACCGCTTAAAAAGTTCTTAAACATGAACAAAAACATGTAAACAAAACAGCTGTTAATTTCCCAATACAAACACTTTTCATAAATCTGCACAGATGAACTAACATAGAAGCAGATCAGTTAATGAAATCAGTCCATCCAACAGAAAAAAAACTCTAATCTACTCTCACCTGCCGGACCGAGAGAACAAAACGTGTTCAACATTCAGAAGAACAAGCAGGTATGTCAGCAGGTATGAAGCAGATGAACAAGACTGTGATGTTAAAATCTCTCTTCTGCTTTAAGTAGTCTGTTCACTGTGCCTACTGACTGTCAACTTGCCTTGTGTTGTAATGCGCAGACTCGC